TGAGCCATCTCCCATCTCCCCAGTCCTTTACTGCCATTTTAAACCTGCATATTTTATCAGATGCAAATTGCTCTTGAATTTTTTTCTGCATCTTTTGAAATGTGCTTATTTGTTTCTTTATTATATTTATGGATGGAAATAGGAAATAAAAATTAATAATTTGTTTTTGGAAACATCATGCCACAAAGACACTTTATAATTGAAATGAAAAGATAGTAAAAAAATTTTTAAAAAGCCCAACAAAACTTACCTTGTGTTTTGACAACTTTGTTTCAGCTTCTTGACTAGAAGTCGTCTTCAATAATGAAAACTCAGACAGTTTCTTTTCTGTGTCATTCATCAACTCAATAGCTTCTTCCCTCACTTTCTGGTAATCTTGCCACTGATTTGTGCATCTTGAAAGAGTCCAAGAGAAATAAGTAACCAACATAAAATCACCCATTTCTACATAGAGCTCTGGTGTCAACATATCTATTAAGAGAGAAGAATGCATCTGCATGTGCAATGTATACCTTAGTATTTTAGTGTTCATTGTGTGAAAATTAGCTCTGCTAAACCCTAAAGCCTGAAACCATCATAATACCTCTGCAGGAGGTCCTGCTGGGTGTGGGAATCCTGGATGATCCTCTGACTCCTCTTTCCCAGGGAAGCCATCTTCTGTGCTAGCTCTTCTTTCCCAGTTGGCTTGATATGTGGATCCAGCTTGACCACTAGATTTTGGAGCTCTTCCACATTACTGTGGAACTGATCCTCTGTGCTGAAAAGTTCCATGTGACTTTTGAGATTTTCCTCTGCACTCTCAACATCGAGGCCATTGCTTGCCAGCTGTGACATTTCCTGGGCATCCTCCAGCCAGTCATTAGCTGCTCGAAATACTTGATAATACCTTTGACACTGTCTGTATATTTCAGTCAAGGTAGCCTGAAAGACAGTAATTGTAAATAAAATATCCCATTTACAATAGGCCTGCAAAACCTCATTCTAATTTTCCATTTCTTTTCTTGTTCTCAATCCTATAAATGCACATCGCAAGTAAACAGATGAGTTCGTGGAATTGTTTTCATAGTGCAATTCAGTGGAGTCCTTTATTTTTCGTTTTGCTAACCTTGCTATAATTTCATCATTGCAATTAAAGAATAAATAAATGAGAGAAATAAATAACAAATTTTGTTGTTATCTTTAAGCTATCTTTTCTTTCTCTAAAGACAAAATCAAAGGTTTTAGTAATATGTTTTGGGTTGAATGTTTTGAAAATATGGTTGTGTCTTGGTTGGTTAAAAGAAAAGGAACATAAAACTTCCAAGCAAGCATTTGCTAGATAAATAGTTTCTGGAAATGAACAGGTTGTCCATGAGTCTTGAACAGAAATTATAGCAGAAAAAGTATGAATCTGCAAGACCTTTCTGTTCAAATCCAGAAGGAAGGGAAACATTCCAGCCAGCCATCAACAGCTGTGGCTGGACAAACACCCTGTGCAAGAGAAGATAGAGAAACAATAATCCAGGAGGAAGGACTAACACAGGACTAGGAGAGAATGGGAAGGCAGGACCTAGGAGAGTCAGACTGGGAGTTGGAAATGCTTCAGAGAGAGTGAAGACAGATGGATTTAGGTGGAGACATCATTTGGGTAGGGACACACAGAAGCAGAGGCATTTGAACTGACATTTAATATTGTGTTTAAAAATTCGCCATGTCAAAACAAACAAGCTATGTGATAGGTTTTTTTTTTCAAGAATGAAAAGGCCAGTTCTTGCCCTGTACTAAGGGGCTATCTCTGTATCTACAGTTCTTGGAATAACAGGTTTCTGTTTTGTTTGGCTTGGTTTGGTACTGGGGGTTGAGCCTAAGGCCTTGTGCCTGTTAGGCAAGGGTTGTACTTCTAAGCTACAGGGTACAACCAGCCCAGGAAAACAGTTTTTACAACTTCTTTGAACTAACATGAAGTAGAAGTATACTAAAAGACTTTTAAAACTCATCATTTTCCATTCATTAAAATCACACTCAAATGTTAAAATTTCACTATTTGAAGTGTTGGACTTAATCTGTATAAAAACATCAAGGAAAGTGATAGGAAAGATTCTGTGTGCTGAGAAGATGATCCTTGAAACCCAGGTGTTTCTCCAAGCCTGAATGATAAAGATCCAATGCAATATAGCAACAATAAAATTCTGAGTAAACAGTGGCCAGCAGATAGGTCTCATGAAGCCCAAGTGGCTTCAAACTTATATGTATTTAGGAAGACCTTGAACTTCGGATCCTCCCACTGCATCTACTGTTCAAGTGCTGGGCACACAGGAGTGCAGCATCACAACCTGTTGATGCAGTGTTGGAGTCAAAGGCAGGGTCATGCACCTGCTTGGCAAAAAACTGAGTTTTACCAGCTGAGCTACTCTGTCACCTCAAGGTCAGGGGATTAAAGAAAGTAATCCTCTGGCCATGACTATGTCTGTTTTCTTTCGTTGAATGAGGAGAATTTGCAAGGCCCAGTAGGAGAAGAATCTGAGAAGCTCCTCACATGTTCTTGATGCTGTCTGTGGTTCCCACATCTTATCATCAGTGTGTACTCTACACTTGCTTCTGCTGTGCTTCACAGAAGCAAGGGAAGGGAAGCACTCCTTCCTGAAGGGAGAAGAAATGAAAGAACAGATGGGACACTCCACCAAAGAGCAAGCCTCAGCACCAGGGCTGGTCTGTGTCATCCATTTGTCTTCACTCTCTTTGAATCCTTCCCAACCAATGTTATTCAAGAAATGTCAGGTTTCATGTGGTTTAAAAAGAGTGTCATTAATCATTCCTTGGTGGTATATTTTATTAATATATTCACACCACCTCTTTGGGGCATTGCTCATAAGACCTCTGCAGTATTTGCATGTAACCTACATCCTGCCATATACTTGAGGTCATCTCTATATCACCCATAATACCCTATATTATGTAAATGCTAGTGAATGGTTGCTATTGTTGTTTATCATTAATGGGATAGTGTAAAAAGATAAAAAGCCTGTACATGTTCAGAAGTTTTGAAAATATGTCAGTGACATCAGTTTGGAGATTCCTCAGGATACTAAAAATAGATGTATCATATAACCCAACCGTACTACCCCTGGGCATTTACCAGTGGGACTCCAAGTCAACATATCACAGAGGTACTTGTACATCCATGTTTATTGCAGTGCTTTTCATAATGACTAAGTTATGGAGTTAACTTCAGTGTCCATTAAAAGACGAATAAAGGAAGTATGGTGGGGCTGCAGGGATGGCTCCGTGGTTAAGGGCACTAGCTGCTGTTGCAGAGGACCCAGGTTCGATTCCCAGTACCCATATGGTGGCAACAACCGTCCTGACTCCAGTTCTAGGGGATCTGATGCCCTCTTCCAACCTCTGTCGGACATGGGTGCACTTATACACATACAGGCAATACACTCATAACACAAAATAAGGTAAAAATAAACATTTTTAAAAAGGAAAATATCATATATACACAATGGAATTTGATTCCTTCTTCATAAAGAAGGAAATGATGTCGTTTGCAGAAGGTGCAACTGGAGATATGAATTAAGTCAGACCCAGAAAGACAAGTATCACGTTTTCTCCCATTTACAGATTTTGGATCTTATACAGACACAAGCACACATACCTACATATGTATGTGTGATATGAAAGTAAAAACTAATCTGTTTAGGGGAAGGCAAGAGATTAATGAAGGGCGTGGGGAAGCAGGGGAGGGGGCCTGAGGAGGAAACATGAAAACATCCTTATGAAACCTAGTACTGTGCACAAGGAATACAAGTTAATAGCAAAAAGAAAAAGAAATTCTCTTTTGATGTTGGTTGAATCTGCTATGTATTATCAAAATTATTTATTGTCTTTTAATAAAGCTGAGGGGAAAAAAAATCCTGACATAGTAATCTACCTAAAATGGAACCAAGAGGGAGCACACGGCATAAAAATGCCCTTTTATGTCACTATTGGAGACAATTCTACGTAGTATCAAAAAAGCAATGTTTGGGCTAGTTTGTTTAGTGAGATAAGGCCTCCTGTAGCCCAAGACGACCTCAAACCGGCTATGTAGCAGATGATGACTTTGAACTCCTAACCCTCCTGCCTCTACCTCCCAAGTTCTGGGATTATGGGCATAAGTCACCACACTTGGCTAGAATAAAGCAATGTTTAAAGAAGCAGCTCTTAACCAAACAACCAAGATCAGACTTCTCATGCATGGCTCTAAAGGAGCATGGTAAAAAAGAAACCAGAGCGCCTCCTACCGACCTGCTGGGTGCGCAAGGCTTCCTGCACGTTGGCATCCAGCTCTGCCAGCTCAGCCAGCGTGCGCTCCAGGTCTGCCGAGATCAGCTCTTTGGCCTTCTTGAACTTCTCCTGCTCCTTGTGACTCAAGGCACTCATGATCCTCAGACTGGACCGGACCTCCTCCTGGTGGATCTGGATCTTTCTGATCTCCTCCTGGATGTCCTGGAGGCTGAGGTCCAGGTACACTGGCCCGCTGAGCTCTGCCTTTCCCCGCCGCAGCCACTCCATGGAGCGGCTCATTTCTGTCTGGAAGTCTATGCTCTGCACCATTCTGCTCTCGCACTCCATCACTGTCTCGCCAATGCCAGAGGTCAACCAGTCCAGCTCCTCTTGCCAAGCCTGGACCTTACCCTTGGCTTTCTCATAAGCATTGGGATCAAGGTGCGGAGTGAGATCCTCCAGGTGCATAGCTAGTCTTTTGAGCAGAATCCCTAAGTCCTGCAGGCTTCCCACCAGGGAGTGATACAGTTTGAGCTTCTCCTCCACTGGGAGTGTTTCCTTTCACTTTTTGGCCTGCTTGGTTTTCACAGCCTCCAGCTGACTCTCTAACTGCTCACACATCCTTGCATGCTCCTGGTAAGCACTAGTGGTGTCTTCTAGCAAGTTGACCCTTTGCTCGGCTTGCCGTTTCAGCCTGTGGTACAAGGTGACCAGGTGCAGCATCTTCTCTGGATGCCAAGGCGGACCTGTGCTGCGAAAGCTTTCTTTCTTCTGGTTTAGTTCATCTATGGCTTGCTCGAGGCCCACCACCTCACCCAGAAGGGCTCTGCAGCTCTCCTGAAGGACACACTCTCTTCCACTATCAGGTCAGAGGGTATCTTCCTCATCTTCAGGAACTGATCTTCCAGTTCACTCAGAGACAGGGTTGTTAAATCTATCAAAGATGCATATTCCTTTCAAGCCAGAATTGCTTCCTGGATTTTATAAAACTTGTCCTTAGCCAAGGCAACAATGACATTGAATTGTTGGGGTAGAGTGCTTAGCTTTTCACTGAGGTAGGAATGATCAACTTCACTTAGGGTCGGGAGCATGGCCTGCCCAGTCCTTTGTAGTGTGAGTAGAAGATTTTCATATTCTGAGGATTGTTCCAGGATGTGCTGGTATTTGTCCAACTGTGCGTGAAGCTCAGGGCCTTCATTCATGAGGTTGATTTCAGGAAACGTAACAATATCTGCTTGTTTGAGCCAGTGTTATGCTTTATCAAAATCTTCCTTAAAATGGTTTCTAGAAACTAAATTCTTCTCTAGCTCTTGAAACCGGTGACTACATTTTTGCAAAACAGAGTCATAAACACTCTGCAACTCCTGAAGCTTTGCCAGAACCTCATTCTTTTCCTGCTCTGTGATTCCTTTCATTAATTCATGACCCTGTGCCCAAAGCCCAGTGACTTCATTTTGGTAAGTCTTGAGGCTGGCCTGGGCAGACTTACATGTTTTAACCTGCTTGCTCACATCATCCGGAAGTAGGCAGATATGTTCCCGGAACGTGATCTTTCGCTCATGTTGCTGAATTTGGCTGGTAGCCTGAAATACTGCCATGAGAAACTGGGTTTTCTCAGACAGAGCCTTGTTTAAGTATTTTCTTCGCTGACCTACTAAGTCACTGAGGCAACTCACATGCTTCTGAGCATCCGCGAGTGCTTTCTGAATCAGCTTCCGCTCATTGAGGCTGAGGTCAGCCATCACACGATCAGCATCCTTCATCAGCGATTTCAGGAGCATCTGTTTGGCCTCCAGCTCACTGCAGATGGCCAGGTGGTCCAGGAGGAGGTTCTGAGCCATGTCAGGAGCGGGGCTCTGCTTCAGGGCCTCTGCGATGTTGGGCTGTTGTTCTTCTGCCCACTCCACTAGCTCCTGGAATCTGGACTGCACCACATTTAACTCCTCCAAGTTGGTGACTGACACTTGGATTTTCCTTTTAACAAGGTCCTTCCTCAAGGTGAAACCAGCGTCGCTCAAAGTAGCTGGTCTGTTCCTTCACTAATTCCTTGTCATCCAGATTCAGATGCTCTACCATCCTCTGCTTTTGCTCTTTCAGATCTTCAATGGCATGCTTCTTCTCCTGCAATACCAAGGCCAACTGTTTCAGAGCCTCCAAGTGGACAGCCGTGCTTTTTGCATCAGACCTAGAAATGCATTGAAGAATATATGAGCAAAGAGCACCTTACTGCATTAAATGACATTACAGCATCTCCTGTAAATGGATGTTCTTAGCTTAGACTCACAGTGACTAGTTCAATTCATGGTTTAATGATAAAGCTGTTGTAGTTAGAATGGAATTCAAGTCTCATCTAGCCCTGTATCAGAAGTTGAATCAAGGCAGGTTGCCTCAGTATTTTTCCACTCTATTCTTAACAGATAATGCTGGCCTCCAATCACATCGCCACATGCCTTTAGCGTCTTCGGGATCTCAACTATGTAGAATCTGCACAGTAACAAGATTCCCTAGATGATCTTGCACAGTTACACACTGAGAAATACTGCTCTGCCGCATTATAAAAATAGAATTGAATGTCACTAATAATACAAGATTTATATACTTTCTTATGGGAGCAAGATATAGTAAATGGTAGAATGCTAGATGGCACAATCTAGAAGGTGTAAGTCACAGCTCTAAGAGCTATTTATAGGCATTTAGATATTTTTGTACATCTGTAATTAGATACGAGAAATCTTAAAATAAATGTGTGATTTAAAGAATCATCACCTTTTCCATCACAAAGCACAGATGGAAAAGCTAGATCTTCTAATCTGTCTTGAATTTACAAGTAATAGATTGTAAAGTATGAGAAATCAGTCTGGTTGGTCTTGGACACATTAGGTTTGAGGTGCCTATAGAACTATTATAAACCAGAAATATGGAGGGGTGTTGCTGATCCTGACTGGATTTATTCCCCAGACCAGTAAAGTGCTAAACATCAAGGAAAAGTAAACAAATCAGAAGACAGCACATCAAATAAATAAGCAGTAAAACCCTACCATGATTTATCTACATCTGGAATAATTCTGGCATTTCATTGCAATAAGCTAATAGATCATGGTAGAAAAAGTACATATATGAAGTACCAGTATATGTGGAGGGATCATACTTATTTTTCAAAAGATAAAAATCTATGAAGGATTCAAGAACCAAAACTCTCAAAGGACAAAAATTAACTGAATTTGAACTGTTTACTGATTTCTATAATATGACTGTGTGGTTTGAATGTGAAATGTCCCCTGTAGACTCACTCATGTGATTGAACATTTGATCCCAGCTGGTGACACTGTTTAGGAGGGTTGTGGATCCTTTAAGAAGTAGAGCTTTGCTAGAGGAAGTGAGTCACTGGGGATGGGCTTGAGGTATTATAGCCTATGTGCCCTGGGCTTCCTGTTTCAATGTGTGCTGGGTGAGCTGCACACTCCTGCAACCAGGGAGCCCTCTATGGCTCTATGGCCACATCTTCCCCTCCGCAATGGACTGTATTCCTTCACACTGAAAGGCCAAATAAACTTCCTCACTTAAGCTGTTTTTTTCTGTCAGATATTTGGTCACAGGACAAGAAAAGGAACTCATACAGTGACCAAATTTGACTAAATTACATAGACTGTATCACTTCATAGACTTAGTAAGAAACTTCCGGAACATAGAGGTTCAAGATGGATTCATTTCACAAATTCATGGGTGATAGTCAATGATTCCTAATTAGACAACAGTAGAAATATTCATAGAGTAACAGTCTTTGGAATGGTTTCTGAGGTCTCAGAAAAACAGTGCTGTTTTCAAACATCTCTCTTGATTTCTGGTTAATTAGTGTTAAACTAGGAATCCTACAAGTCTCTACCCACACAACATTAGGACCTTAATGATATTATGTCAATTTCTGGCTTAGCATTATGGTGACCCACAGGAGAATTTCTGTTACCTGGCCAAATTATCCCATTCTGTAGTAAATTTTTCAAGGAATGCTTCAACCACATTCATGTGGTCATGGTAATCCCTGGTTCTCTGAAGATCCTGCTCCCTTTGTGCACACAGCTTGTCAGACTGAAGGCAGAGATCCAGCCACTGATCATTTAAGTGGCTTATTTCCTTGTGTTCAGGAGACTCCTGCTTCTTGGTTAAGTTGTTTACCTTTTCTACGATGGTGCCCACTGATGCCTGTTTGTACTGTAGCTGCTTAACAAAATCCTAAAGATACCAACCGAAAACAGGTAATAAGTGATCAACGGTCCCATGTAAACAGAGTGAAACAAACACAAGACCTCTAAATAAAATCTGAAAACTAAAAAAACCTTATCTTCCTATGAACATAAATTTTCAGTTGTGTTAAAAATCAGAATGACTTTCATGTTTTGGTACATTCTTTTATTTTTAGAAGTATAACCAAGTATATAGACTTGAAGTGAGGCCTAGTTTTCACAAAAATAACTTTAAAGAATTTAGTCTTTCATGAAAAAATTTAATCTGTTATTTTCTATTTTTTCTGTAACTATAAAAGTATTTAGTACAAAATAGAGATAATTCATTGTCATAGAAAAAAAAATCTCAAACTTTGCTTAAAATCTGATCCTCTTTCCAATCAAATCAATATACTTAAATCATTCCCCATTGTACTTTACATTACTTACATCAGAAATCATATTTATATTTACATTAATTACATAATGGTAATGTAATTAACTAATAGGCTTACACTCCTCTAGTTGTAGCTATATGGTAATAAAAATATGAATAATAATGTGGCTCTGTGTTTGCCTAACAGCAGTCCCCTCATTCTGTGGGCTAAATGACAGCTTTCTTGCTAAGAAACAAAGAGCACAATGAATGTTTTCAAATGAAAATGACCATATAGAACTCCAAGCATATACATGGATATTTACTATTTTTTTATTTAATTACTTATTGAGACAGGGTCTTGCTATGTTGCCTGGGCTTGTCTTGAAGATTCAAGATTTCACCTCAAAATAGGTGATTTCACCTCAAAAGAGGTGGACTACAGCTACGCATTACTGTGCTTAGCTTATGAGTATTTACTTTCAGATCTGTCTTTTCTTGTCACCAGAGAGCTGCTGGGATGCCTAAGGAGCTGCACCAATGCCTAAGGAGACACACCCAGGCATATGGGAGTGAATGCACTGAACGCAGGACATCTTTCGCTCTGTCCTGGCTTCCTTTATTTCCCCTGGAGAGAAGTCG